GCTGTCCTTCCGTTGCTTCACGCGCTCTGTAGCTGTCACACGTTACCCGACTTTGCTACAGCCCCTGCGTGGACTCGATCACGGAATGACACCCCCAACTATAGACTAATAATTCCAAACACCGTGACCCTGGGTTTCCGGTAGAAAATGAAGCCAAATTCTAATTCGACTGTTACAAAATAAACACCAGTTTATTCTATCTGCTTCGACGAACAAACCTTCCTTTTATTTTGTCTTATTTTGTCTGATTTGGAAAGTCGCATCTTCGATCTTTATTTGAGGTTGAGTATTGGATTGACGATAAAGTATCTGCATCTACGACTTCCCAGGGTGGGCTAATGTAATGGAGCAACTAGTGTATTTGCATTGTACGAGCGTTTCATGAACGCTGTATGAGCGCTTATTGGATATTTTGAATTTTCTTTGGATATGGATATTTGGCGACGTTGAAGGGTATTGAAGTAGCTTGAAGGAAGATCAAAATCCCAGCCCCGCTCCCTCACTCTCCGAGTGGGAGCTGAGCGGACCTGGTCTAAGAAGGCTAAACAAGAGATCAAACAACAACTGTGAGTACCCGAAGCCAGGAGCAACGAGCTTGGTCCCTTCCCTCTTTTATTTCTCTGTTCCTCCATAACATACGCGAATGACATGCGTTGATGGGCATGCTGCATGGCGATGGTGTTGCCTACCGCATGTCTCTCACTCTCTAATCAACCAAAGGTCTTGAGTCAACCTTCTTTCTCTTCGGCCTCTGACGGGCTACCGCACCCAAACATAGTTGAATGTCGAACACTGGTGGACGTTGCGCACTCTTCTGAGCGGCTACCTACTATACCCTTTCTGTTACCCGGGACTGGCTGCATTATTAGCACTGCATTTCAGCCGCGGCCCTGGCGGCTAACCGGCAATAATAGCGATTCAATCAATAGTTTCACACGAAACGAACAGAGTTAAAGATTCAACGAATTCCAATAATTGGACTAAAGCTCAAATAATGTGATTTTGGATATAGATTAATGACCTATATACCCATTCAGAAAAGGATCGTTAGACCCATGTTTATGGTTTCCAAATCTTTATCTTCATTTCTTTGGACAAATGCTGACTTTTTCGACCTTTTGGGCAGTCTGCCTCCCGAATGAATGCGAATCAGCTGTTCGACCTTTGAGAATAGTCACAGCTTTGCCTGAGATGTATACAGGCCGCCTATTTGTTTTGCCAGGGTCCACGTTTGCTTTTTTTCCAGCAGTTCAAGATGTGCAAGATTCGGCCCAAAGACCACCTCGGAGCAAATCTTGGGCCAAGATCTGTCCAAAAGCTGGTGTTGGAAAAATCTTGCGTGAAAATTGTGCATCTTGAAAAAATCAAACGTGGGCCCTGGCGAAACAAATAGGCGATCTGTAGACATCTCAGCAAAAGCTGTGACTATTCTCAAAGGTCGAACAGCTGATTCGCATTCGTTCGGGAGGCAGACTGCCCAAAAGATCGAAAAAGTCAACATTTGTCCGAAGAAAGGAAGATAAAGATTTGGAAACCATAAACATGGGCCTTAATGAAGAAATATTCAATCTGATTTTTTTTCCGAGGAATCTAAGAGGAGGAACGGTCGGTCGTGTTGTGATTGTGGACGATTTTTTTCAGATGATCCACAGTCAGTCCAGCTCATGGGTGGGTTTAGAACGTACGTATACCCATCAGCGGAGTCTTCACAACAGGTACCTTCTGTTACCTGAGGCTGACTCTGCATCAAGAAGTTCGTTTGATCTACTCTGAAGTACATATCTATGTACTTAGAAACCGTCTAACCGAAAACATATTTTATATTATGCGTAGTAACCTGTAAAGATCCAACGCAAGGGCGAAAGGTTCACCACTCAAAAAAGCAATTAGGAATAATACTCGGAGCAATGTAATAGACGATGTTGATTTTATTTTTCGTTCTTTCCATGATCCAGTAGCTCCATGCTTATAACGTGTGTACGCATACCCATCGGCGCACCCATCTTAGCAGCTACCTACTATAATTCTGTTTCCCGGGACTGGCTGCATTAGCACTTCATTTCAGCTACACATACACAGGTGGCCAAAGTACCGCCTTGTAGAGGCACATTGGGCAACCTCGAAAAAAAAACATTGGGCACCGATCGCAACCTGCTGATCTTGGGTAATTCTTGCAATGATGAGGTGGCCAGGTTGGGCAACCTGAACTTTTCTTGGAGGTTGGGGCGTAGTCTACAAGGCGGTTGGTGGGTAGGTTGGGGATGATGCGCAAGGTGTGCCTTTTTTGGAGGTTGGCGGACTGTCTACAACCTGGTACGCGGACAGGTTGCCGATGCTGTTGCAAGGTGTACTTTGGGTGGAGGTTGGCGGACTGTCTACAACCTGGTACGCTGCCAGGTTGCCGAAGTTGGTGCAAGGTGTACCTTTTTGTGGAGGTTGGGGCACTGTCTACAACCTGGTACGCGGACAGGTTGCCGATGCTGGTGCAAGGTTTTCCTGTTGTGGAGGTTGGCGCACTGCGGTGTACAAGCCGGTTGCCTAGGTTGTCGGAGGCAACAGCAGCAGCATTGCTACTCAGCAACACCAATGTGGGTTCAATACCCCATCATGACTTTTTTTTCCCTCCCATTTTTTCAAAAGATTTTTTCGATACGGGTATCGGAACAGTATCGCGACTCATCATCTCGAGCCCGTTGTCGACAACTCTGGAGTTGCATAGAGATTCGTTTTTTTTAACTTCCGCCAGCAACGTCGATGATGGAAATGATCCGTGCATGCAACACTACATAATCGTTGTCTTAAGATGAGGGAAAGACGACTCAATCGGGGACAACAGCTACACGTACTGACGGCGCGTTTTCCCAATGCACATGCACTCGTAGAAACGACTGCCTTCTCCCGACACTAAACAAAGCATTCCCCCTCCCGCCGCCCCGAAAGCCCCAGCAGTATCCAATATATGGTTCCTGTCCTTGTTGAATTTTCCCCTGCACCACCCGCCGACGTTGATCATGGAGATGATCCGCAAGAAAGCAATACCATTGAGTGTTGACGGATAGACGACGAAGCGGAGACAATAGTTACACGTAGCGAAAGCGGGCTCCCCCAATACACTTGTCCAAACGACCGATTCGATGTCAGAAAATAAAGCACCCCCTCTCTCGCCGCCCCCGAAGTCACAATTCTAGACACGAAGAAATGTCACTGCCCGAGAACAAAATAAAGGCATACTGCAGGGACTGCAGAGAGAGACGTCTCTACCCTCCAAACACCACAAAAAAACACCTCCAAGATGGCCTTCCCCACGAGGGACAAGAAAGAAGCATGACGGCAACGACTGAAGGCAAGAGGCCGCCGCAGCGATAGATTCCAGACGCACTTGGAGACACTGTAAAAAACCTTCCCGAGAGCACTAAGCACCTCACAGCATTCTTCATTCAAACGCAAACATGAGCCATTGCGAGCGGGAAGGAAAATTTTCCGCCTTCTCGTTCAACACTCCGGCCCGTTGTGGAAGAGAGGACCCGGGAAAACGCGTCGAACGGCGTTGAAGCGGAGATCCCGTCGACTACACCTGGGGTTTGCCGATCAGCAGCGAAATAATATTAAGTGTGAGAGGAGAGGAGACTAAACGTGGGCCGTCGATGAATGGGGGTGCAGATATGCATTGTCAACAATACTATTTAAACCAGGCATGGGGGGTTGGAACAAAACCCACAGCTTAACCGCAGGTCGTAGAATACGCCAGAGACGAGGTAAAGTCAAGGGGAATTGACAAAATGGGGTATACCCCGCGTGTTCAGGCATAAAATGGGGGATCCCTTTTCTCGATGTGGGGCGCAACGCCTGACGCCGGGTAGCCGCCTTCTAATGCTTCAGCCCCATGCACCACGTCCTCAGGAAGGACGCCCAGCTTTTCGTTTTTTTTCACCGTCAGGAACAGGGTTAACTAGGGCCTGGAAGAGGGGAGCTTGTTGGAGGACCCCATTTTGTCCACGAAACCGTGGGGTACACCCCCCTGTCTGCTAAAAGTTTATCTAGTACGCCATTGTGTTCACAAACATATCCCATAATGTTCAAGGTATACCCCTTTTTGTTCAGTGGTAACCCTCCCGCGGACTGCCAAAACGTCAACCAACAACCAACCGCAGACCGGACCATATCTCTGTACTTTCTGTCTCCTTGCCGCGCCGCAGACGACAACAAAGCCCGCGTGTTGCACCGCAGACCACCATACCCCAACCACGCCTATATGTATGGTAGTATGCTGTTGGTTGTTGGTTGACATTTTGGCAGTCCGCAGGAGTGTCACCACTGAACAAAAAGGGGTATACCTTGAACAGTATGGGATATGTTTGTGAACACAACGGCGTACTAGATAAACTTTTAGCAGACAGGGGGGTGTACCCCACGGTTTCGTGGACAAAATGGGGTCCTCCAATAAGCTCCCCTCTTCCAGGCCCTAGTTAACCCTGTTCCTGACGATGAAAAAAAACGAAAAGCTGGGCGTCCTTCCTGAGGACATGGTGCATGGGGCTGAAGCATTAGAAGGCGGCTGCCCGGTGTCAGGCGTTGCGCCCCACACCGAAAAAAAGGATACCCCATTTTATGCCTAAACACGCGGGGTATACCCCATTTTGTCAATCCTCCTACATTTAAACATCAGGAGTGGCTAACGGACACGCTGGGATGGAGAAGAGTATATCGAAGGGAACCGCGGGCATAACGATTGCACGACAAGAAAAACGCAAGCATCCAACACCGTTTCAGGCAGAGAAAGAGGAAGAGAGGCACGATTATTGGAAGACACATAACACACCTTGTCAACACGGGTTAGGCGTCCGCCGAGGCTTTGGGGCCAGCGTCGTCGTCGGGACCATCGCTTATCTGGCTCGGAGATGAAAAGCCATCCCCGTCTCCATCCTTAGCTTCCCCTCCGCCCCCATCTTTATCCACCCCGGGGTCACCTTCGCCACCTCCAGGCCCTCGTCCTCCAAGAAGCACGGCTTGAGGCAGCGCTTAGCGTCGTCCTGCTGATCAATACTCTCGGCGGAGGGGATAGCCCATGCGTATTTTAGCCGAACTGCATGAAGCTAGAACCTGAGACACGAAACAAAGAACAAAGAGCGTTTCATTTGAATGTCAGCTTGTCTGACGCCGCGGGGTTCATCTCGTTAATAGCTTGCGCCAAACCACCTTCGCGTCGACTCGAAGCAACGCCAGGGCGCACTGAAACTGCGGTAAAACCAATGAAAAGGCTGGAAACGCGACAGGAAGAAAACAATTGAGAGTGTTGGACTTGCAGCTCGCACGCCCAATGAGCGCTTATCAGCCTGACAAACGGTTGACAGTATGCCACGGGAGACAGGGTTAGACGAATAAACTAAATACAACGAAGGGCCAGTCTTACAGAGCTTACAGTAGATCACATATCGACACAAAGGCAGCGTACATGTCCCGGATGGCGTTCAACGTTTGGTCGTAGCCGCCATACTTCCCAGCAACGCCTTTTCGAATAAAGGGTGGCACATCGGGAAGGTACGGTATACCGTCATGGTCGGGGTCACTCTTGTTGGCGAAGTGTGCCCTGGAGTGCCCATCCTCGTCTTGACGACATCCGCGAGGATGCACTTCTCGAGTATCTTCGAAAGGGATCAATCCATCCCGTGAGGGGGGCGAGGTGGTGCTTAGCGGGGGCTGGATGGATGCACCAGAGCAAAGTTGACAGTAGATAGTGTGGAAATACTGCTGAAAGCAGCAGGCAGCAGGGCGAAGATGGACTCCAGCAGTTATCCTCGTTTTCAAAACGTACGTGGCGATTCCAAAATTCAAGCATTATTAACACGGAAGCGGCCTGAAGATTGTGAGGACAAACACTCATTGTCCCCGGTCCTGTTGCGTGGCACCATGACATGTTGGGTAAATGCGCACTATCGCTCACCGTGCGCTGCACCTCTATCCTGCACGACAGGCTAACGCTACAGCATGCGAGCCCCTCAAACCAACACAAGTAGTGGTGCGTGTGCGTCAAAAAGTCTCTACCCCTTCCACAAGCAATGAATCGCGAGGATTGTTGCCTACACGTCCCCCCGTTCCTTCCCATTCTGCTCATGAATGAACGAATGAACAGCGTTCGAAAGAAGGAACTCGTCGTTCCTTCCGTTCACATTCAAATAGGAGCGGATGTACTGAAAACGTGAGTGGAGCTATGCCGGAGTGATCGGCGATGTTATGCACGACTCTGACAGCAGGTGCAGTAGCAGACCTCTATCTGTTCCCGGTGGACAGAGGTTACGACATGAACTTACCATCATACACTTTGTTTTTCAAACCACAGGGCACCACTTCTGAAATATATCTCGCATTTCCCGCAGGGAGTTCACTTAATAACCCGACCGCACCTGAAATATATGGCGGTGCGCTTGCATCAGTCGACCTGGTCGAAGCTCACGCTCTGCATGGTCTCGCCCTCCGACCCGGGAAATGCCTTGCTTGGATGGCCCTAGAACCTTCGAGAACATGACGGTACCGAGCCCGCTCATGGCCGTCTCCACCTACTACAATACAGGGCGGGGGGGACAAAAAGTGCGTGAGACGCAACATGTGAACGACGCACATGTATACCCCTCTGCTCTGCTATGCACACTACTGGTGCCTTCTCCATTTCTCATCGGTGGCGCGGCTTCATTCGGTCGAGAATATGCGTAACATGAAGTGCTGTACGTACCGGAAGATAATTTCATCTATACTGCTGTCCGGTTCGCCAGTTCCTTGAAAGCTACACACCAGCTATGCATACAATCACTGAAAGACTACCCGTTCAGGAAAACGCAATAGTCAAAGGGAATGAATGTGCTAATGTCTGTACCATTTGCTTTTGCTGTTGGCCCCTTCGCCACACTTGGGGGCACCCACTGTGACCACCTTTCTTCATGCTGTTGTTGCTGTCTTGAGATAAAAATATAAACGTTCCGATCTCTGACACGCCTTGTTTGCAGGGGTTTAGGCTGTTCTTAATTTATCGTTTTTCTCGGGAAAAAAGTGTAATTTATGAAATCGGACAAGAAAACGTTTCTTCTACACTGCTGTATTAGGACTAGAAATTACACATTTATTTCCGGCTGAAGATTTTCGACTTCATTTCAAGCGGCCATGCGTTCGGAAGTGATGACAATTTTTGATCCGATGGCGCGTTTGCTTATTGCGTTTGGAAATGCACACCACACGGAATAAACATCGATTGCGCAGAAAGTTGGCCGTAGCAACCCTCGGAGCACTGTGCTGCCATCTCAGCCGTTGATATTTGGTTGCCGTGTGGCGAGGTGCGCTCAAAGCGAAATGTTGGCCAGCTCACGCAGCACCGCTTGTTCAGACTTGCAAAGAACAGACCCGCAAACAGACGCAGCATCATCCCAACACACACATTGATGGACAAAGTCTTCAATTTCTTGCTCGCTAGACACCCTCCTGCTGAAACTTGCGAGGATGTGAGCTCCATCAGACCGCTCTCTATCGGAGGGACTGCGTCGTTGCTGTTGGCTTGTTCAGTGGAGGGATAACTACAACGCCACTGGTGAAATGGCAAGAAATAAATATGTACAGCAGTGAGCGGCATGTCATTTTTCGAACAGCAGTCGACCCTCGCCAACTTCGTTGCTCAGCCCCCCAGCCCGTCACGGCCTGTGAAAACCACAGCGCAAGAAGCACCATACACGCAGCTACGGGCGGGTGGCATTGTGGTATCTGTTGGTTCGGTCAGTTAAGAGGGGTCGCTACGAAACCAAACCTGTGACGTTGCAAATAACTTGTCAATAGCTGTGTTCGAGCTGTGTGTTCGGAGTGTGTTCGAGCGGGGTGTCTTCTTCGAACAGCAGTTGGCCCTCTCACCAACTTCAATTCTCAGCCTCCCCGCGTCTCACGGTATGTAACAACCACCCCACATGAGGCACCATACATACGTACAGACATGGGCGCATGCTTTGCTATTGCTGTTGTGTCACCCAGTGCGCAGAGATCCAAGAAAACACAAACCGACCGATCATGATATGGTATGGGGTAGAAAGTGTTATGAAAATAGGGGTGGCAAGTCGTTCTCATGAGAAACTGCCTTACTCGGTATTTACGGCCAACAAACGTATATTTCTATTCCAAAGTGCACATCAATTTCCCGAGGAAAAGAAAAAGAAGAAAAGGGTGGTGGGAAGAAAACGATGGCGCAGAGGATAATCGAATCCACTGCAGTCTCACAGCAGTTGGTTGCTTAAGATATCACGCCCCCTGGACCAATTTCCAAACCCTGTTTACTCCCCAGCAGAAGAGGTGGCGGTGCCGGAAATGGTGGCATTGGAACTGTCCAGTCCAGAACTTTCCGAAAATGTATCGTTTGACTTTGGCATATCATCGTCTTTGTCGTGGAAAAATAGAGGTGCGAAATTCGGTTAAGGGGGGGGTGGTATCTTATGCAACCTACGGTAGTCAATTCTTGCTTTCAAAACGAACGCATGTTTACAATATTGCGACGTGTGAACGACCCTGTGTCAATCGAACAATTTGTCTAAAAAAACAGGGCGTGTTAAGGGCTGGGCGTCGGCTGATGCCTCTGGACGGTTCACGCGGTCTATGCTAGGCATGTGTGTGGACACGTCATACAGCCGACATGCACGTTGTCACAAAATACTGATGAATAATACTACAAGCACAACCCCCGCAAAAAAACGTTGAGAAATGACGAAGTGCCTACAGCAGCATGTACATCCCCCGCCCTAAACAATGTCTAATGAGGCTGGGCACTGATTGACGCCTTCGGGATAATTCCCCGTTGTACATGATGAGTAAGAGCTGTATGCGCGCAGTAGGCCCAGAGCCATTGGGTGTGCAGGACCAACTGCTGGTGTCTGAGCACATGTAACAACATAAATGCAGGGGACACAGGGATACACAACACACAACTTTCCCTTCATTCATCCTTCTTTTGCTACCATCCAGGTAAAACTGCAGGGAATAGCTCACCTAAGCAGAAACTGCTGCCGGCATGTCGCTCTCTCTTGTCCGCGCGCGCCGTGTAGAAGCTCGTCTTGCCGCTCTTAGCAGCACAAGTGCGGCGGGTTAGCTGCGGCGGCTGCCGTGCCCCAAGTCCGAGCATCTAGAGATAGTAGCCTGTTGCCTTGGTTACGAAAGGAATGCCATCAGTCTAATCGCTATTCGTCTTGGCACGCTGTGGCCTCTGGTCGCCTGTGTCAAGGCTCGTCATGTGGAAACGACGGCGCGCAGGCCACACCGCAACACACCACCACACACAAAGCAAACCCACCAACAGGGGGCTCGCTGGTTCGAATGCACACACCCCACTCTAGCTTCCCATCTGTCTGTCTGGCGGGATCGGTTGCCAACTGCCTCCCAACCTGTATCTTCGGTGCTTTCACCACCAGGAGGTCTGGCCTAAGGTTGTAGCTGCTTCCCAACCTGTTGGGTCTGTGTTTGTACAACCAGGAGGGCTGGCCAAGGTTGTGACAGCCCTCCCAACCTTCAGCACCCAGCCTTGTACAACCAGGAGGGCTGGCCAAGGTTGTGACAGCCCTCCCAACCTTCAGCACCCAGCCTTGTACAAACAAGAGGGCTGGCCAAGGTTGTGGCCTGCCT